AAGGGGAAGTGATAACAACAACAACAATAATAATAGCCACAGGAACAATAACAGCTAACGCTTATTGGGTGGTTACTAATGTGCCAGGCACCATGCTGAGTGCTTCACATGCATTATCTCATTTAAGCCTCACTCCACCCCTGTGAGGTAGGCACTGAGACCCAGAGTGGTTAAGTTACTAGCGCATAGTCACAGTAAGTGGTACGTCTGGGATATGAATGCAGAGAGCCTGTGCTCTTCCCCACCGCCCCCCACCCCCTGACAATACGCTTCTTCAGAAGGATATTGGGTTAGACTGGAAGAAGAAAGGAAGCTTCAGGAAGGGCAGGTGGACTGAGAAGCAGAAGTGCCAGCACTGGGACAAGAAAATGATCCATGGAGAAGGTGGGAACCTAAGGCAAAGCTTGCACAATGCTGGCAAGTGTCTTAACCTCTTGATTCTTCTTGATCTGTCTGAGAAATGTTCCAGCACTTTCCCTTGCAGATCTTCAGGCATGAAACACCCTTCTGTGCTGCCTGACCCTCCTCCTCACCCTGGGAGCAGACTGGGGTCTCTTTGCTGAGAAACTCACCTTAGGACACAACTTCCCAGCCAAGAAGTCAGGGCTCTGTGGTGTGTCCCTGTGGTGTTGCAATGTGCTGGGAAGGGGGCAGGGCAAGAGGGCAGTGAGAGGAAAAATGATGTGGGGGGGCATGTGTGGGTTTGGGTGTTTTTACCCAATTAAGCCCAACAAGGGCCAAGTCTCCCTCTACACCAAGCCATGAGAGCCACAAACGCAGCAGAACAAACATATGGCTAGTCCTTGCCCTTGCCCGGGTGGTCTGGGAAAGAAACACGTGGGACTCCCCAGACTCTTTGGTTCCCAGATGGCTGAGAAAATAAAAATCTCTGTCCTCCACCTGAACCTCTGAGCTTCCAGAGAAATCTCAGAACCCAGGGGAAAGGTGGGACCCAACCAGCCCGTGCCTGCCATGAACATCTGTGGCATGTCAGTTTTCCTGTCCCTTTGGTGCCCCCTACCTCTCTTTTCCCCTCTCTCTCCTGCAGGGCCTGTGTGTGTGTGTGTGTGTGTGTGTGTGTGTGTAGGGGGGGAGTTCAAAATGAAACCCCCTCAGCTTGGGTGGCAGGGAAGCCTGGCCACCCTCTGTGTCTTATCAATACCTGCTAGGCTCCCGGTCCGGGACAGCCACTTTGTGTCTCCTGAAGTGGAAATCGGGGTTTGCACCGAGACACCCACACTCTCTGACCTAGTCTTTTATGTGACATGTATTTGCCAAACAATTGTCCAGGCTTCGAAGGCCAGTCTGTGGCCAGGGAAGAGAGAGAAAGGCATCTTTTCTCCCTTTTCTGCCTAGCCAAATCTCCCCGGTGCCGCCCCACCCCCCTCAAGGTCTAGCTCAGCCGCGTCCCTCACAAAGCCTTCCCTCCCTCCTCCAGCTGCTGCTGACCTCAGAGCACTGGCCGCCTCTGGCCCCTGCTTCAAGGAGCACAATTAGCACCTGGCCAGCCACTGGCCTGCCTGCTTGTCCTCGTCTCTGATTGTTTCAGTGTCTTAGTCATCTCTCCCCTACCACCTCCTTTGCTTGTCTCCCCCACAGCGCCTAGCACAGGTTGGGCACACAGTAGGTGTTAATAAATGTCTGTTGAATTGAAACTCAGCAGCCCCTATGAGGTCAGAACCCTCATAAGCACCCGAACCAGCAGTTCCTTGGCAACCAGCGCTGGGGCCCCAGCTACAGGGCATTAGCGGCACAGCTGCTATTACAGGCCACGCGAGGCTCAGCGGCCAGAGATTTGCAGGCAGGTTGGTGTTGATGAGAAAAGCCCCTGACCCCTAGGAAAGCGCCCATGGGATTCTGGGTACCTTGGATGAGTTTCCTTCCTCTCCTGCAGAACTAGTTTTCAGTCTGAGAACCACAAAGGGAATAAATTGGCAGTGAAGCCAGAAACCTCTTTGCAGCTTAGAAATCCTGGAGAGATAACCAAGCCCAGGTTGGGGCCAGGCCCAACCTGAGGAGAGAAGGCTGCCCAAGGCCCCTCCCAGCTCAGCAGGGGACCTTTGGGAGGTGCAGAGGGCATGGCAGGCATGGGTCCTGCCACTCCAGGGAGCTATAGGGGTGTTTGTGGGTGGCCCTAAGTAATGCCATCCTGCCCTGGAACCCAACAAATCAGTCCACTGAATGCTTACCACCTGCAGCCCATGCAGGAACAAAGTCTCCCTTTCCCTCTCATTCACCCAAATCCCAGGGAAGGCCTCTGTCCAGGGGCGGGCATACAGACCAGAACCCAGCCAGTGTCCCCAGGCAAAGAGAAGCCTCCAAGTCTGGGGTTCTGGCTCCCCACACTGGCTCAAGGATTCGAGCCTGGCTTTGAATTATGGTTATTTATATAGATGACCCAGCCACTCTCCCTGGCCTGCTCCCACGTTCCCCACCCCGACTCCAGCCTACACCAGAAGGTATACACAATTACAGAAGGTAAGTGTACCTTCTTCACCTCCATATTTTCCTTACTGCCACTTCGCTGATGCCCGGTACTGGGACTGGCTCTCAGCATATGTCTGCTGAATTGAATCTGAGTTTTAGGCACTGCGTTAGACAATATCATAATGCTAGTTCACGCTTACTATGTGTCACACACTGTTCTAATAAGCAGCTTACATGTATTGATGTATTTGATCCTCAGTGCCACATTATGAGGTAGGTCTCATTTGACAGATGAGGAAACTGAGGCATAGAATTGACTGGAACCATACAACTAGTAAATAACAAAGCTGGGATTTAGACAATCTGGCTCTAGGGACTGGAGGTAAAATGAGAAAGTTGGGGGTCAGGGGGTGGCGAGGACCAAGGCCAAGCTTAGGAGTAGATTGCCAGAAAAGCAATCCCCTCAGTCTGCGTCTGGCTGGGCCTCTCAGGGACAAAAGCCCTGAATTTTGCAGGCCAGGGGCATTTTGGACACCCTATCAATCAGGCCCATGACAGAGCACAGCACCCTCATTTTTAGATCCCAATATAGGACAGAGGAGACAGAAGCCACTGTGCCACCACTTAGCACTAGGCAGGGGGAGGGTGGATTTTGGGCCCCCAGCTTGTCCAGGGGTGGGCGCCAGTTCCTGAGCAACCACCGAGCAAACAGTGCAGCAGTGGGAGGAATGCCAGACATAGTTGCAAACAAGCCACTCCTTCGGCTCACAGCTAGAGGCTGGGTGAGGGTGGCAACGTGGAGCCTGCTCAACCGTCCCCCCCTCAAGACATCCCAGGCTTTGAACCCAGCCCCAGAGACAACCACATGCAAGGCAGCCTCTTCCCAACATCGGCCAGGATAGGAAGTCCTCCAGAACAGTTAAGTCCTTCTCTTAACTCGAGATAGCTCCCCGCTAGGCTGTTTCCGCGCTGGGTCCACTGAATTAATGGTTGAGAAAGTGCCTTATAACCGGTAAAACACTGCGTAACTAACTGCAAGGAGGGATTTGCATTCTTGCTGGGCATACGTGTTCCCTGGGCATTTTCAGTGCCAAAGTGTCCTGTCTCCCCAAAGGGGAGAGCTAGATCTGTTCCCTTCACCCCCTCCTAACCTGGGCATTCAGGCCAGGGGTCAGCTCGCAGGGGGTGAGTCCCCGATGGGCGTGCCCACCAGCTGTTGGGGCCAGCAGTAGTGGCTCAGGCCCTGGGGTGGTGACCTCACTTCCGCTCCTACCTCCCCACCTCCCCAGCACTCCTCCCATTTGAGGCCCCACCAGGCCAAAATCGAGAAGTCCAAGGTTAACTGTTCCTCCCCACTTTAAGAGCTAATTAAAATGATTAGCCACAATGAACTGTAAAACATTAACCAGAAGAAGCTGCAGGACCAGACAGGCCTCTATCTCGGGCAGAGGGATGAGGGGCAGGAATCAAACGGCCATCAAATCCCATGGTTAGGGTGTGGTGGTGGTGGGGGCAGCCAGCAAGACTGGCCGAGCTGAGGTGCCAAGGGGTCAGGAGGTGACTCTGGTCAGGAAGGCCATCTCCTGGCATACAGTTGTGAGGAAAGGGCGGCAGAGTTAAGGTGCGGTGGAGGGACCAGAAATTCATATAGCCGCTACCGCCTCAGCAGTCTCCAAAAGCAAGGCGCTGTCGGCAATGGACCTCGCGCTGTGTGGCTGCTGAGTCTCCTTGCCGGCAGCAGAGGGAACAGAGAGGCGGGAGAGCTGGGGAGAGCGGGAACGCGGGAGCGGGAAGGCCGGCTCACACGGAAACACCGGCCCCTGCCAAGAGGTCTCTATTTTGGCGATCCATTTATTCAAGTCATAGGGGTGTGTGTGTGTGTGTTACCCTAAGGTGCCTGGCCCTAGAAACCCTAGGGGTCGCCCGATCAATCTAGCAGCCCCACCGCAGTTCCCGCTCGACTTCTTGCCCTCGGGCACCGAGCTTTTGGGGGCCGCTGTCACGATCGGCCCTGTCACAGAACCCGGGCAGCCCGGGTCGTGAGAAAACTGGCCCTCCGCCCTGACTAGGGAAATCGATTCCGCTTCTAACCCGGGCTCAGGAGCCCGGGTGCCCCAACACACACGCGGTGGGGCGAGGCAAGGGCGGGACTCAACACGCCGCGGCTCTCCCATCCTTCCCTGGGCCCCCAACCCCTACACTCTGGAGCCCCGGGGCCCCGATCCCGCCCTGAGGCAAACTTTTCGAGGTCCGCGAAGGCTCGAAGAACCGGCGCCATCGACGTACCTGAGGCAGAGTGGGCCCGGTCGCCGGGCCAGGGTCGCTCGCCGTGGTCCCCTCCCCGACCCAGGGACCGAGACGCGGGTCCCCAGCCCGGCCAGCCCACCTTCTCCCCTCAGAAGCCGGCCGGGCAATTGGTGCCGGGATCTCGGCGCCGGCGAAAGGAGAAGTGGAAGTTGAGCGCGGCGCCCGGTCGGTCCCCGCGGCCGCCGGGGCCACCGTCCCCCTCCCTGCTTCCCTCCCTCCTTTCCTCCCTGCCCGCCTGCCCCCGCGGCCCCGCGCCCGTGACTCACCTCGGCGCCGGGGCAGGCTGGTCCGGGCGGGCGAGGCGCAGGGCTCTCCCACACGTCGCGCCGCCAATGGCAAGTTGGAGGGCGAGATGCAAATACCAGGTGAGACGGCGGCGGCGCCCCTGATAAAACGACTCCGGGGGGCGGGGTGGAGTGCGGGGGAGCTGAGTGGAAGCCCAGGAGGGCAAGGCCGAGGGAGGGGGCGGCGGGGGCGCCCGGGGAGGGGGCGCAAGCCGGCGGAGACCTGCACTGAGACAGCCGAGCGAAAGGGGAAATTGCACTAGAGACACACACGTCCCCGCAGGCGGCGGCTGGGGCGGGCGCGAAGGAGGCAGGGCGAGAGGGAGGGAAGAGCCGGAGGGAGGGACCGACGGGAGGGACCGCAGGCGGGCGGGGTGGGGGAGGGAGCGAGGGAGGGACGCGGCGTCTTGGTGGAAACAGCGCCCCTCCACCCCCGGCCCGCCGGAGTCGCCAGCACGGCAGGGGGAGCCGTGCCAGGGGCCCGCGCGGCCTCTCCTTCCCCTCACGGCTCGCTCGCCCCCGGAGACGGCGAGAGCAGGGCTCCCGCAGAGCCCACGTCGCGAGCCCCTGCCCTGGCCAGCGCGCCCCCTCTCAGCTCACACGCGGGTCCTGGGGCTCTCAGCTCCCCGTCAGGGCCCTTCCCGGCGGAAGCCCCCACACCATGCCTCAGAGAGAAATCCATTCCCCGGGGATGCCGAATGGTTATGTCCGGCCCCCTCCGCCTGCGCAGTCCACTCACTTGACGCCTTTGGCCCAAGCCCTGCACTCCAGATTATTGAGCGCCTGCTGTGTGCAGACCTGGCAGGAGGGCGGGCCGAGCGAGTGGGTGAGGCCAGGAGATGCCCAGAGGATACAATTTGGGAACTAAATGCCAAACACCGAGGAATCCCGGGCCAGATGCATCGTGCGCTTGAGGTGACTGGAGACTTTTGGGGACTTCTTAGAGAAGTGGAGCCTAGAGCTCCTGGTGGGGGAAGCCAGGAGGATATGAATCAGGGGAAGGCTTGAGGGGAGATGGGCTGGTGCAGCAGGTACAAAAGCGGCTAGAGTTGGGGTGCTGGGAGAAAGCTATGCCCCCTTCTGTCCAAAGCCAGGCTGCTCTGTGTGAGGCACTCACTTGAACCCCAGTCTCCCATTCTATCTCCCCCTTACCTCAGTATTCATACTAGCCCCCGACATGGACCCACAGCTAGGAGACTCTAGGAGGGAGTTGGCCGGGAATTGTCACTCCTTATGGGTCTACATCGTCTGGAGGGGGAGCCCAGCCAGGCCTCAGGCCTTGCATCTCCTTGGCAGAAAGCAGCAAAGCTGATGGGGCCCCAGAGGAGCAGGGCCTTCTGAGAGGCAGGGATGGCCAAAGGGCCTGAGGTTCAGGGACCTGCTTAGCCACCAGCATCTGCCTGCTTCCCCAGCCTTGGGAAAGGATCGTCCTTGGCACAGGACTGGAGGACGGGAGTGATGGTAGATGATGGTGGTGAAGGCAGCTGCAGATTGCAGATTTCCAGGAGAAGACCTAGGGGCTGGACAGGGGCACTGGCCCTTGAGACTTCTTGGCTACCTATAGCCAAGTCACTGAAATAAGTGCCAAGAGCAAATTTCCGCTTTTTTCTTTTCTAAGTGGGCACGCTTTCCCCAGGGGATTTCAGGTCCTGGAGACACACAGTTCTCTGCTGGCCTCTTGCCTGTAAGACTTTCCTTTCAAAATTATAGTAGGTCTCAGCCATCCCTAAGCCCCCTTTACCTTGACCTGGAAACTCACTAATGGATACACACACACACACACACACACACACACACACACACATTTTGCTAAGAGTTTATTGGTCTCTAACATCAGACAGACCTGGGTTCCTCTTCCAGCTGCGCCATTTACCAGTTGTGTCTTTAGGCAAGTCATTTAAACTCTCTGAGCCTCAGTTTCCTTGTGTTTTAAATTAGGGATAATAAGAACCTACCTCACAAGGCTGTGGTGAGGAGGGAATGAGATAACCTATGTCTAGGGTAGTGCCTGATGCTTAGTGAGCCCTCAATAAATGTTAGCTACCTTCAGCATCATCTTCATCCTCATTTCGCTTTTTTCAATCCAGCTCTCGGGAGAAAGTCTGATAGGCCAAGCCAGATGCTGCTGAGGACTAATGGTGGATCCCTCCTATGCGTGTTTGTGGTTTCAACCAAGGCTGAAGCCTCAAGGCACGGAGGAGCTGGGGGAGAGGTCTTCCTCTTGGGAAGGCCAGGGAGAGAGGTCAGCACTGTGCTGACCAGCTCACAGTGACTGGCCCTAATGCCTGCCAGTGACCTGGAGCCCACAGCTTGTGGGAATCCCATAAGTTCCCACCTTCCCCAGCCACTGGGAACTAACCACAGCCCCATGATCTTGGAGTTGCAGCCAAAGTAAACCCCACACCCCTTGGTGAAAATACTGTGCCAACCTCACCTTGGGGAGCCATGGGCCACCTGAATGACTTTCCTGACTCCATGGCTCCAGGTCAGCCTGGCTGCCTTTCCAGATGACCTTGCTGCTCCCCAGCCTGCCAGCCCTTCCCCACCTGGCTCCCCACTCTTCCACCTACCCGTTGGGTGAGCCCCAGCCAGGTGGGGCCAGCCGGCTGAGATCACCACTCCTGACGACAGCCACGCTGTCTCTGCCAATGGCTCATTCCCTGACTTGGCAGGAATTCCCCTTCTCGAGTTGCCCATGGATGCTCAGGCTGCACCATCCAGCGTGAACTCACAGCTTCTCTCCTTCCAGCCCTGTTTTCTCCCCACTCTCCAACCCCTTCTCCGTCCTCTCAGGCCTTAGAACCTGGGTCCTTCCAGGAGCAGAGGGGCCTCCCAGCGGCCCACAGGCTGTGTGGGGCCACCTCCCCACTTCTATAATTTTATAATTTTATTTATTTATTCTATTTTTCCCCCAAAGCCCCAGTAGATAGTTGTATGTCATAGCTGCACATCCTTCTAGTTGCTGTATGTGGGACGCGGCCTCAGCATGGCCGGAGAAGCGGTGCCTCGGTGCGCACCCGGGATCTGAATCCGGGCCGCCAGCAGCGGAGTGTGTGCACTCAACTGCTAAGCCACAGGGCCGGCCCGCACCTCCCCACTTCTGCACTCAACTTGTCTTTCCACCTTGGCAACCTTCTCAGCCCCTCTGTGCCCCCTTTTTCAAGCAGTGCCTGATAGCGTGTGTTCTTCTGCAAATCACCCCAGGTTCTTTGGAGACAAACTGGCTGGTTGCTTTCCCCCTCCCTTAACCCCTTGGCCTCAACAAATTCTATTCAAACCTGTGTCCAGAACAAAATACCACAGTGCCACAGCTTCTGTGGCCATGGCCCTTACTCTCCACCAGACACATGCTAGAAAAGTCACCTATCAATCAGACTTTTGGAATGAGAAGCATATTCAAAAGCCAGGAGAGAAGTTATAGTTTAAAAGGAATCCTCCCACCTGCAAAGCTGAGAAGCCCGCCATAATCCTTTCTGTACAGCCAGCAATCATCCCTCTGTTGATATGTTCAATAACTCCAGGTTTGCCTCTGTTGGGTTTACATGGCAAGATAGATCCAAATGACAGACAGAAATCTCTAAGTCCCAGGTTGTGCCTGGGCATCATAAGGAGTGTTTGTTCTAAAAAGATTGTTTTTGTGTGTGTGTGTGAGGAAGATCAGCCCTGAGCTAACATCCATGCCAATCCTCCTCTTTTTTGCTGAGGAAGATCGGCCCTGAGCTAACTCTATTGCCAATCCTCCTCCTCTTTTTTTTCCCTTTTTTCTCCCCAAAGCCCCAGTAGATAGATATATGTCATAGTTGCACATCCTTCTAGTTGCTGTATGTGGGACGCCACCTCAGCGTGGCCGGAGAAGCGGTGTGTCGGTGCCCACCCGGGATCCGAACCCTGGCCGCCAGTAGCGGAGCGTGCGCACTTAACCGCTAAGCCACGGGGCCGGCCCCTAAAAATATTGTTGAGTAGCTGCAAAATAGAAGAATTCCTTGGGATAGGTTATACCAAAATGCTCCTTCGCGGATTACGGTCTGTTGCCCTGGCCTGCACTGGGGGGTAATAGGGGGCGGGGGTGTTCCCGGGCCAAAGCACAGGCAGGCAGATGGGAGGATGTAGCTGGGAGCAACTTCCCAGAAGTTTCATCTGGCCGACCACCTTCCTTGACTGGGCTCTTGGAAAGCCACTTGGTTTCCCCACCCGACCCTGCTCTCATTAAAATGGAGAGTTATACATTTCCCCTCCAGGCCTTTGCTGGGACAGGCCCGGGCATCATGAGATCCCTTACAAAACTTCAGAGGACCGCTAGGTTTCACTTCTTGGAGGGCCAGACAGCAGCTCAAGGGCCTGCCTGAAGAGAGATGACAGCCAGATGTAGGAGGAGCTGCAGGCCTTGAGCGAGCACTCCGCATGTCGACCCTGGGTACAGTGGCTGCTGGGAGGCACTGTCCCCACTGCACGCACAGCCTGGGGAATGGGCCCAGTGTTTGGGATATAGATTCAGTGCCCTTCAGGCTGGCCCTCTGGGTTGGTGGGAGATTTTGAGGGTGGAGGGAGGGGGAGGAACCTGATCCTCTGGTTTATTTGCAAAAAATAAAGAAGTGGCTTCGGGCAGAGTCCAGCAAATGAGGGCAAGCCCCCTGGAGTCTCTAATCCCACTGGTTCCTAGCCCCTATCTTGGAGCCAGGGCTCAGCCTGGAAAAGTCCCTGGGACCAGGGCCGAGGGCAGATGCCTTGTTCTGGGGCACCTATCAGAGGCAGCATAGCATCCAGAGTTTTCAGGCCATTGTCTAGAGGAGCCAGAGTTAACTCGTCAACCCCCAACATCTGCCGGCCCAACACCTGTCTGGTGTGGAGGGCAGCCTCACTGTGCCCCACAGCCCTGCAGGGATTCCAAATGATGTTCCAAAGGTGCCTCCCCTCATGGCCCGCAGAAAAGAGTGGGCCTAAGTAGGCCTTGACCCAAGGGGCTGCTGCTAGGGGGCAGGGGTTGGGATGGTGGGGCAGAGGAACGCCAACACACGGAGGCCTTGCTGGAGGCAATTGCCAAGCAATATCTGTGGGCCCTTGAGTGTGCTGGGGGACGAGGACACAGCTGCTGTTAAGCTGGGCATTCCTTCCTCAGATGGAGAGAAGGTTCAGGGAAGTGGAGGGGGCTCCAGTCACATTGCATGGGGCGCTACATATTATATAT